TGTGCTATGCATAGTTTGTAGCATGCCACATAGTAAACATACTCAGTTATACACTACAAAAGTATATTAACTCCCGATGCTGTTTAGAACATTCTGTACCACACTAAATATACTATCAGAAGTCATTACATGCCCTCTGTATACCATATAACTTTGACAATGTGTCATTAGGCCGTTAAAAATTATGCATCTGTCAGTAACTTGACAGCAGCAAACAGCGTATAATGAGTCAGGTTGACTGCCTAACAAGCGGCGGTGAACTTATTGCTCTCGCGGAAATGAGTTGCGCAACGAGAGCTTTCCGCTCGGCAACCTACAACTAGAAACCAAAATATCCATGACTGCCGCAGCCATCACCACAAAAGGTATGTTCCGTGTTGCATGTTGGAATATTATTCTCTTGTTTGGCGATGGTAAGCTAGATGATATCTGCTGTATGGCCAGTCAATACAAACACGGTCGCGGAAACTCGCCTCCCGGCTAAGGGAACGCTTGATCAGCAGAGTGGGTGATCATTTTGGTAGTCAAGCCACATCAAATTATGCGACTCAACGGGACGGTGGGCGTCGAGCACACCAAATTGCCAGATAGATCTGCATTCAAAGAAGAATACTTGTTTCTGCGCTGCAGAAACCTGTGCCTTATGGCAAAACTGTTGTAAAGCAGCGAACACAACTGACATCACAAATCAGGAACAACAAGCAAAACACCAACCTTGCGCATTATACACATTGTAAGTGGTAATTAATATGCTGCGCACTGAAAGTGGTTATAACGTCAAATACTGCATAAATAAATATGCTAGTGATACTTCTACAATACACACACCTCTACGTCTTAAGCACTAAAAATGTATGAAGTGCGTAGAACTTACCATACTGTTCACAGGGTGAATATCTGTAGAGTATATATTAAAGCCAGATTATTAGATAATCTGCATTTTTGTATATTCTGTAGCTATTGGTCATGCATGGAATATCCAGTAAACTATGCTTTGTCGCAGTCAACAAAGGCGAACAAAGAAAATACTACTGACTGCCGCCGTAATGTTCTATTATTACACAGAATAAACTCTCGTGAAACTGTCACTTCAAGAGGCACAGGAAACAGTACCCCTGTTAGAAGCCAGCTAGAATGTTCTGTGGCTAATTAACGATCGAGCAAAAAAACTGATGACCGAAACGACACCTACCGATAGGTCCGTTGATATTCATGGACCTACTGCAGTTGATGTTGACAGTTGGCTGATCGAAGGAAGCCGGGTTTATTGCACTGGGTCCCAGTGCAGCAGAGCTATTTTGCACGGTTGGTACAGTGTTATACAGCTTCGGATCAAAGGTGGATGTGACGGGTTTGTCGTCGACAAAGAATCCGTCACGCATTCGGTTCTGAAACACGGGGAAATCAGATCATATAAGATGACTAAGCGGTGTAGCGTCATTAATATCAAATGGTTTATAGCACATCAGCAAAATAAACACTAACTTCGGGCAATGCAACTGATCTTATGAAAAGGCAATGGCGGAACTGAGTGACCGTTATCCTAAGTATCCTGCGTACCAGGTCCTATATGACAAAGAAAAACAGATAATATATACGAGTAGCGTTTCTTCCTTCGCACGGAGACATGGCTGGTGTCTCCAAAGGCAGTTTGGTAGTAAAACCCAGGAAATGAATTTTTGTTTATCATGACAATAATAAAGCACAAAATAATGAGATCGTAAACAATAAATTCCAGTTTGCGCAGTGCATGGTAACGAAGCGGAAGAGATGCCTAATGCATGGCAGATCAAGGTACAAAAAAAGTCGAACAGGCAGCTGTCATGAACGCGAAATGCGTTAGGAATTTCAGAGAATATGAAAAGATACAACCTGGATCTTAACTCGCATCACTTCAGTTACATGTGTACATTCCGACTTTCGCGTTTTTCACAGCGTGTTGCCTTTAACAGACGTTTATTGTTCGAGTCACCTACCACCATTTTTTGGTCTTTGGTTACTCCACGTATCTTCATATGGTTCCTTACGACATCGTGTCACGGTTTGTCTCGTCTTCTTACTTTCTTTTTTGGCAGTACAAACGTTTCAGACACATTTCAAACATACAGGTCCTGTGTTCTATTCATGTGACCGGATTAACGGCGATGCTTTCAATTAGCTTCTCTGTAGCTGGTAGTACCCTTAACGGGTCTCATATAAAGGTATTTCGAATATGGTCCTTTTGCTTACAAACAACTAATCCTCTGCACATTTGCATCTCTACTGAATTCAACTGCTTCTCGTTTCTCTTTCGAGTAGCCAGTCATTCCGCTCCGTACAGAAGCATAGACAGGCATCTTCTTATGATACAGTACGCCTCTATCCATTTGAACAATGGATTCTCCACCGATTTTTTAACTCACTGTCTATTTTCCAACTGTCTTGTAAAGCTATGAACCAATATACTTGAATTCTTGCTACCCGCTAATTTCACTGATTTGCTGGCTTAATCTGTTTTCTTCTTTTGAAACAGCCCGCTATGTAATCGAACCTGCATTTGCTGATCCGAATGCGGCTTTTCTCAATGACTGTTTCCATGTCTACGCTTTTACTTCCATTCCTTGTCTGTTTTCCCTGTTTCGAAAAGGGCATGTAGTGTCTGTGTGTGGGGGGGGGCATGCTTCCTGCAACCATTAAATATCGCGTCTGTCACTACTGAGAACAGAAATGAGGTCACTGCTGAAACTTGATGAATAAATTTTTGCAGCGAGGGTTATTCTGTATCGCCGCGTGTAATTCGAACTATAACTGCACTCTGTCATACATGTTTTGGATAAGCGTAGCATTTTTCTGGCACTAGCTTCTTTCACGTTCTCTACCAAACTGTCTAGGAATTCGATCATAATCTCTTGCCAAGTTTAGGAGCATCGCATCGATATCGCATGACATCGTTTTTCAGCATTCTTTCATATACCCTAATGGAGTAGCTGAGCAATTTAATTCCTCAGTACTTTTCCCACGCCAATATGGCCCCTTCACTTGGTTCATTCGTATCAAAATACTATTCCTGCATTATTCCGGCATCTTCTCACATGGCATAACTTTATAAATTACTGCACAGAGCTAAACTGGCAAAAGCCGCCCCAATGGATTTTATGCTTCTGTGGGCACGATTTTATTCCACTCAAGGCTTCTTCCGCATAGAATCGGGTGAAATAATTTCCGTTACTCGCTGGTTTCGTTGAATCTCTTCCTAAACTTTCCTGTAATACTCATGTTTAGTGGCGTCTGGAAATGTCTTCGCCATGAGTTGTGAATATTTTTCTGGTTTATCAGCACCTCTCCGTTTTCGACTTTCATCATTTCACTGTGCCTATGTCGCTTGTTCATCTTTCTCAGGCTTTCACCACGTAATAAACATTTTTATCTCCATCCGTCATTGCCAGTTTTTCGCATAAGACCATTGTGCGCATTGGACATTGCTTCCTTCTCCGCTATGGCACATTTCACTCTCCTCCGCGCTGTTTGACAATCGTCACTTCTTGAACAGCTCTTTCTTCTGTCGTAGAGTCGCCTGCACTTCCACATTTCACCACCACGTTTAATTCTGGATATATGTTGCTACACTTACAGCATTTTCGATGATCGTGCTGGTCATCAGCTCACATACTTTTTCCACTCTCCGGTCCCAGTCTTTTAAAGCTTCTACCACTGTATCCTAATGGATGACGTTGTTTCCCTATTCTTAAACCATTGTTTTAGATAAAGGTCTAAGACTTGTGAGAGATTCCCCTCAGATAACTTGCAATCTCTGACATTGCTCAATTCATTCCTTCGGAACAGCAAATAATCGATCAGAGTTTTCATCTGTTCGTTCATGTAGAGGTTTTCTTTCTGCTGAACGAACGTATTTGTGAGGGTTATGTCGTATGCAACTGACCATCTGTAAGAGGTTTTCTTCTAACATATTTAACACGAAACATCCCTGCCTGCCATGGATCCTGGCACAACCCATTTGGTTTTCCGACGTGTCTGTTAGTCACCCTCGATTACTACTCGTTCGTTTTGCGTAAGCTTTGCAACACAAGGTCTCGCTCTGAAAACTTCGACTTCTTGGCTTCATCCAGTTACAGAGATATACGGATTTATTTTTAAGATACCACTTTCCAAAGTTTGCTTAATGCCCACGATTATGCCGTTAATTCCATTGATTTGAATACCTCGTGTTTAATGTGTTTCATTCAATATAATTGCAACTCATTTTCTTCTGCCTGATGTTTGGCAACAAATGAGTTTATAGACAAGTCTGATCTCATTCGACCTCTCTCCTTTCCGTTTCATCTCCTGGATGCAAGCGATGTGAGCTTTACATTTTTGCAAGGCCTCCACTGGTTCCTTTCAAGATTTCCATTCACCGTTCCAAGGTTTCAAGAGTCTATTCGCAATAATAACTAACTATTCAAGAGTTTTTTGCAATAACAACTTGATGAAAAAGAAATAACAGCGAAAGAAAGTTAACCTGCAGATTTAGCATCGCCAATCGATTGACTAATGCGTTAGCATCGGGCACGTCTCCGTTGATGAGAGTGGCGCCAAAACTGCTCTTTCCCCCTCCTCCGATATTCGCTGCCGGAGAGCGCAAGCAAAAGTCACCGTTGTCGAACGGAAGCGCAGTCGAACTAGAGATATGACTGGCGTAGTTCATCGTCTGGAAACCGACAGAGCTGGTAACATCGGGTTGTTTCTAAAACGTGACAGCAGAGGCGAATGTTGTCTACATGTACGAAAAAGTGTATCATCCGCTATACCTCGGTGGAGCTGGAAGCCGGGCAGCGCCATGCATTGGTCGCATGAACAGGTGAAGGGCGAAAGCCGTTGTCCTGGTACAAGAAACGATGCGGTTGCGACGCGATCTGGGTGTTGTTTGCTCGAAAACCGTCTGATCGCTTATGGTGATCGTACGCCACAGTAGGTGAATAATTAATTAGAGATTGGGCGTCGACGCCAGGCGAAAGCGTAACAGCATTTTGACTAAGTTGGTCATCACTCGACTTGCGCACATTCTTCGAAGACGTCAGGAGAGCATCGTCGTCATTGTCAATGTCAGGAAAAATCGACGGCCAATGGTAATCGCCATTAACTGCAGCCTGCTGCCTTAGTTTGTCTCGAAACTAAATGCAGAACGAGTGCGATTAATGAACGCAGAAAGAAGAATGAGAAGGAATACTTACTACGTTACCAGGCGAAGTGTCGAATTCATTTTTTCTCGCATCTGCGATCTTGGCTGCCTTTGACGAAAAAGCAGCCAGGCCATAAGGATCATCCACTTTGTTCTCCACAGTTACTTGACTCATGCCTTTTCTCTATTAAAACTAAAGTATGATATTCAATTACTGTATTTTCATCGTAAAGCATAACATAATAACCTGGTCAACACTATTTTAATGGTTGAGGATAACTTCCTGTTAATTTAGCATACTATATGTAAAAGATAAAATCAGGAAGGCTATTCACAAAATGTCGCGCTGTAAATAAAACAATATCATCTATTGTGCCTTATACAATACTAATGATACACTCGTAATTTATTATAGTAAAGCTTAATATTTCTGTTATCGCCGCGCAATCTGTTAGGTACTTCGTTTACCACCAAAAAGAATAATCCCATAACAAATGCAAATTCAACATGAATCATTTCAATACAGTCAACAAACGTTTCTCAGGCTCATCATTACAGAAAGCCATAGGCCTTTAGTTCATTTATTTACCATTACATATTGTAAACTTTCCCGAAGTCAAGCAGAGTGTCATGACTACAGCAGTGTATAAACGTAATGCCACAATGGAATTCATGCTCAATCAGTACATACCTAACAGCTCAACCTTTCTGGGATTTTTTGATATAACCTCCTTGCCCACAAAGGTCGAACTAAAACCTGCACAGCAATGCAGCTGCCGTACAAAATCAAGATTACGATTCTTTATTGGATAGTTGCCCGGCATGACTGTATATGCCGAAACTGGCGTTCTACAGAGCGTAACACACAAACTTCAAAATATTCAGAAATTCCGTCAGTCACACAGCATATTATGAAAAATAAACAAAATATACAATACATATATTCTGTTGATGAACTCATGAAAAACTACTCGAACTACTTCAGTAAGCGACTTTATTAATTTGAAAGTTAACAGCATTAATTAATCTACCACGGGTTGCACGATCTTTGCCAACAGAGCAGCGAAAAAAAATCATGCAATACCGTAAAGTTTAGTCAATATTTTATGGCCATACTGTATAAAAAAATAGTTAAACGTTACTAAATTAACCCAGGCATCGTGGGTTTCTGACTAGCAAACTGCTAGCTGCTCATAACAATTTCTACTTCCCAGGATAGCAAAAAACTTCATATCTGCTCTTTCAGCGTTACCACTGGTCGCTAGGATTATGAGAGTGAAAAATCGCAATTCCGACAAACTATAAAATTATGATTACCGATATTCGGTGATACCGCAGATGAAGATAACCGTGAAAACCTTAATCAACCATTTTCATTCTTGGCAAACCTTACTATGAGGAGGAAATGAGTAAAAATCTTAATTTTGATAAGGCTGATATTATAACTAATCGCGATGACGCTGACAATGAAGAATGTGATGACACTCAATATATCTGTGATAAAATCTTAATCACCCCCCCCCATCTACTTCCTTGGTCAGCGTTTCGAACATTTAGGAAACGAAACTTTAAAACTTATGTAAAAGTCAAATGTCAGACTATAGGCACATAAATAGTAGCTTCCGA